CTAGGCGCGATAGGGCGAAAACACACGGCAGGTCGTGACCAGCATATATTTTCTTGGTCTATGGCATCCAGAAGGTAACGCCGGCAGTCCACAAGCCTCCGGGACTAACGACAATTGCGATAGTGCGAGTACCATACCGACACCACCTCCTGTTCAAAAGAAAAGGAAGGAAAGGAAAGGAAAGGAAGGTAAGCAGCTCATTGGGGCGGCCCTGTGCAATTCTGTGTACCACGAGCTTCGCACCGGGACCAGATACAGGGATGGAGGGTCTCCCCGTGCCGTGAAAGCCCCCTGCTATTGTGATGGGGTTTCCAAGAGTATCGTTTCTTACTGTGACCACGGGTATGGTATTGTTCCGGAACGTCATTGTTTCCCCTGCAAATCTTGAATCCATGCTCAGATACACAACCAGTACCCCTACAGAGGCTTATTTCGTGAACTCCACGACGGCTGGGGTTTACCCCTCAACGAGCCTTACACTAAGAATTGAATTACCGATTTGATAATATATTCGATGGCGGGCCTCAGGAAATCCAAGAAAGTCAGAAAAAATGATCCAGCCGATATCCTTAGGGATAAACCTCTGAAATCAGCATGATTGATACCTTGCATTTGCGCCTGCGGATTCCCCACCATCTTGATCCGAGATATATGATACGTCCTGCGCCTTTCGCGAGAGATGCGTCAACTTGCACTGAAGTCTGACTCTATCACTTTCGCCCCATTTTCCGGTCCTCTAGCCTGGTTGTTTTCTTTATCTATCACGTCTAGCACATCCCCCCCGGGAAGACTCTGTTAGTTCGTCTCCTATAACGGAGAAGGCCAGAATTACTGGCTCAACAGAAGCCGGCTACCCCATCCCAAGGTAGTGTGGGGTTTGAGCAAGTTTTCATAACCTAAAAAACTAAACCCACCTTGTAGTCACACCCCGCTATCCCGGATCTCGGTAATCCGGATGCCTCGCTGTCCCGTATGAATTCCTGTGAGTTCCAACCTTCTTCACACCACAACCCGACCCGTTGTCCCGGATAACCCATTGTAACGGACAGATTCTTTGGGTTTTGGCCGTCCCGGATAGCGGGGGTGCGACTGTAAGCATATCACAAGTATCACCTTCGCATCTCGAGCGCTGTGAAATCCCAAGAGATGACACGATTCCAACCTGACGGTCAAGTCCCAGCCACCCAAGCGGGTTCAAATATCCTAACGACGCAGTGCAGGGGACAGGACAGACATGCACGGCAGGGCTGCTTCCCGTACTGTACGAGTACAAGCGGCCGTTCCCCACAATTCATTTTTTTTCTCACCTGTACCGTACTTGTATCCTCAGTCTTGGTTCCAGCGCTCACCCCGGGCACCGGGCTTGCATGGCTCATGTTCGAGGGGCTAGCCGAGCTAGCTAGCTAGCTAGCTGGCACTCCGTCTCGTGTTACATGGCTTCCGCTAGGAAGGGAGCTGCCTACGACGACCCACCCGAATCCCACGTCCAAGGAACGTGAGAGAGTTGTGATCAGCCATCGATAGGAAGAGTGGGAATACACAATTCCGGTGTAACCGACCTTCTTGTGCGGTGTTGTGTTATAATCCATCGGTTTTCTGCGGACCCGACGACGAGCTAACGTGCTAATGAGGCTCAGGATTGGACCCTTCGTACGCGCATACCGGTAGATTTTTTTTCACTCCAAACATCGCGGGTGAGGGCGCCTAAAGAATAATCAAGAAAACCCTTCCGCAAAAAGCTCCAGTCGTCCCCTCATTTGGGGCAGGGAGTAGGCTTGCGCAAGATTAATCAGTCTCATGCCACTAGATTCCAACACGTATACCTGCGCCTGTGTAGCGCGTTATGCAGAGGATCCAATATTGGCAGCGGGCGGGGTGAATAGCGATAAGAAACTGCCGTGCTGCTGGATTTTAGCAGTATTAGCAACTACTACTCCGCACGCTGCATGGGTGTGACACTGCGGACTGCGTTTGCGGCGGTTAGTTGATAGACAAGGAAGGAACCATATTTGTAGACTACCGCACCCGAGCGCCACATAACCACCGTCCATGGCCATACCGTCTTGGTATCACTTGGTATCGACCCACTCATGGGGTTCATCCCCTTCGTATCGGCCTATTCTTCCACCACCTCTAGCCTGGGCCTCCGTGCATCCAAGCAGTATACTCGAGTACAAGTAGGGGGTTTCTCCAATATCAACGTGCTTTGGCGCCTGTGATACTGTATCGGTCCGTTTTGAAAACCCTCGGGCCTCACCGCTCCGGCAAGTGGATACTGGATACTGATAAGGTGCAATTTTTCTCAGGAAAGCTCACCACCCCTTCACGGTATCCATCCACCTCCTTCGGAGTTCCCCATCAGTGCCGCTCGATCCTTGTATCCCCTCCTCATTCCTCTCGTTTTACGTTGAGAGCCACAGCACCAAGGCATACCCAGGGCGGAATGTATTTTACGCGACAAGTTCAGGGGCTTCTAGTTTTGCTCCTTAGGGGAATCTGGGGGCACACATATGATGATCGGATATTCGGGGTTCTGATCGCTCATAAAAATATATGGGGGTTTAGCGATGAGTGTTGTACTAGTACCTTCGCCCAACATAGAGCAATGAAGGCAACTCTATGACTGAATTCTCCCGGGTGCCCCTTTAGGCATCCGCCCCAAGCGCCCGCGGTTTCCCAAACCCGCGGATTTCGAATCCGAGTGAGCAGTTATGATGATCACGGTTATCTTTCTGCAGAAGCTCATTTATCGCAAAATTATGGAGGCTTTATTGAATCCTCGGGAGCGATGGCCTGCCTTGAAAGCTTGGTTAGCCCAAAAGCAAGTATATCATGCGGGTCTCCTGGCTTCATTTTTCGCTCGAACTTGACTCAAAAGCAATTTCCTGCAATGAGATCTCGCGCTCACATGTTGATATCGGTGGCTTTCCTTTCTCCTTTTTTCTGTTAGACCCACACAAGTGGGTGTGTGGCATTCCCCGGTGCTCCGCTTGGCCGAGATGATAGTGACCTCTACTGAATCTAGCAGTTGGAGCTGGATCGTCATCGCAGCGTACCTGTAAGTTACAAACCTCATCTTCAATTTAAGAGGGAATCGCGGAGACCACCCAGACTTACAGTCTACAAGACTGTTGGGGTTAGTGACTATACTTTCAATTCCGACCGGCTCAGTGAAAATGGGTTCTTTGCGCGCGATCGTATGATGATGATGGAAAGGCGGGCCTGGCCACCGCCTCGGTCGGTCGGAAATGATCTTTCTCAGTCTCCTTCCCAGATTGTGAAACACAGAGCCCATTGGACCGGACCCAACGGTTACCGTCTGCCGTCACTCGAAATGATTGGATACTGTATGTATTGTATCATGTTGTCCTGCTACGAGCAATCCGTTACCCGCGACCCACGAGATTACGCGATGGCAAGCTGAAAGTGCGAGGGTTACCGGTACAGCAACACCCGCCCGCCTATGTTAGACATAGCATGGATAGGAAATACTCCCGCTAGAAATATCTTCTCACTTACGGAGAGACAAACTGGTTCGCCCTGTTGTTGAAGACTAACATCGTAATGTCCTCCAGTGGTGGATTCTTGTCTGGGATGTGGATGTTATACCGTACCGTGCTCGAGTGGTTAGGCCCCTGCCAAGGGTCACCGTCGGCTTTACTCGTAGCACCCTGCGGTTGTGCCTGTCCGGCCAATTCCCATACATTCGCTTGGAATGCTATTACTCGCGTCGATGCGATGCATGAAGGAAAAAAAACAAAAAGGTGAAAAAAGTAAAAAAGTAAAAAAGAACTCGTACTCGAGTACTGTTCTATTTTGTAGACATACAGAACGGTCTGTGTGGTAGAACGGGTGCAAAATATGCAGCTCAGTGCACACGGACCATACCCGAAAGGCAACCATGGCCAGATGAAGCCGGGGAATCCGATGAGCGAAGAGGAGAAAACTCGAGTGCTATTGCAGTCCTTCCATCATCTGGTGGGCGTAACCAATTGGCGATGTTGTTGAGCTGTCGCTTGCAGAGGTGCATGCATTGACGTCCAGGGCTGTGTACGAGTACTCGTGCATGTACAGTACTCGTACCGTACTCGAGTACAGTACTGGTACACCGAAAAAAAATAAAAAATCGGTCGGGGTGGAAATAAATTGTTAATTTGTTAGGCCGTCTAACGCCTAACCTGAGCAATGGTTTTGGATTCATAGGCTTGGCGAGTGTTCAGCAGGGGTGTTGAGGTGAAAGAGCTCTGACATGAGGGATACTTGTACTATAGCACCCCGAACACTTTAGGGTGAATTGGGTATGGGCGCTCAGAGGTGCTCAGTTAATTTTCCATACAGATTCTTGATCCCTGTGTTCTGGTACCCCACGTCTACCTGTACTGCCTACAATAGTACTTTGGTGATGTCGTGGCCGATATGCTCAGGGTCCATGCCCACTTTCAAAATGGGTGTAGAACCTCGTTGTTTAATAGCACTAGGAATATTCGGCGGAACGGGCGTGAGAACGTGTGCGGTACTTGTACCCAGCTAAGGTTTCCGCGCATCCTCTGGTGCCCCTGTGCAAGTATGGAGGGCGAGCGTGCGATTCCGTGCGAAAAAGCGAGAATGGGAGAGAATAATGGCTGCTGGGATTCAATGCGGAGAACTTTAGGGTCGATAGCCACCGTCTCTATACCCCCACTCTACGTGTTCCACAGACATTCGACGCGCTGTACCGCCCCCGTGTAGTCGGGTGTAATCTTGTAACTTACCCTGCGCTGTCGGGATTGTGGAGTGCTGTTTTGACAATTTTGTGGATTTTCTCCCAGATTCATCGCTTTTTTTACGGTATCTGCTCCTGACGGCAGGGAATGGTGGGAAATGTGACCTAGTGCTTCACAATTCTAGTCTTAGCCTCGCAGGGGACTTACGCTACCGATACCAGGCAACCCGAATCAGGCTATCTGTGTGAGTGCAAGTGAAGTCACTGCGCCAATACGGGAACTGATGGAATATCATCTTAGATGCTACCGCAGCACTTTTTTCTTGCTTTTTTTTTCTCCCTCTCGAGCGGAAAAGCAGCGAATCACGAAGAAGCAGACTCTTGACATGCATGCACTCTCGAGACTTGAGCAGCACCGTGGTGATAGTTCTGCTGTGGTGGGATGCGATAAACGGGAACTGGTACGCTCGATACCGCTATCGCGGACCTCTGCAGGACCGTTCGAAGGTAGAGTAAGTATCGGCAACCCACCCATCCAGCACCCCCGAATTTCTATATAAACCAGGTCGCCCGTCCCGCAACGTCGGTTCTTCAGCAGTCCCAACAGCTCTACATCCCACAGAATAAAAACAATTTAGCAGTATAACATTCACAGCATCCACCATGTCTACCACTACTACTACCATCACTTCCCCCATTGCCGAGACCCTGCCTAGCACTCTCACTATCAAAGAAGAGTCCACTCGCAACCAGTTCACCACGCCTCCCAAATACACCGGCGCTCTCGACAAGTACGAGAAGTTCGACGTCACTCGCGTCATCGGCACCGAGTTCAAACAAGGCATCCAATTGGCGGACCTTCTCAAGGCTCCCAATTCCGATGACTTAATCCGTGATTTGTCCATCCTTGTGGCCCAGCGTGGTGTCGTCTTCCTCCGTGCGCAGGAGATCAGCCTTCAGGAGCAGAAGGAACTTACTCAGAAGTTGGGTGTTTTGAGCGGAAAGCCCGATAGCAGTGGGCTCCATACACACCCACTTACCCGAGAGGTAATATCACCTCTAAGACTCCCTTGCCAGTTATCTTGCTAACTGGGTTCTGCAGTTCTCTGAGCTCGGCGACGAGGTGACTGTCATTAGCACCGAAGGAAAGAAGGGTCTGAACCGCAGACTCCGCCCATCCTACAAGGATGAGAGGTCTGGCCTCGCCAGCTCGGGATGGCATATGGAGGTTACTTTTGAAGAGATTCCAAGTGACTGTATGTAACGGAATCCCCCGAATATCAACCAGACACTGACTTGGACATTAGACTCCGTCCTGAAGATGACTACCCTCCCAGAGACTGGCGGAGACACCCTTTGGGCTTCCGCATATGAGGCGAGTTTTTCTTGGAGCGATGCCAGCTATTCTGGGATTTCAGCACTAACATCATGCAGGCCTACGACCGTCTCTCCCCCTCCTTCCGCAAGACCCTTGAGGGCTTGACTGCCACTCACGACTCCCCTAGATTTGCTGAGGTTGCCGCGCGCGATGGCTTCCGGCTCAGGACTGACCGCGGCGCTCCCCAGAACTCTGGCCTCGATTTGGTGGCTGTTCACCCCGTCATTCGTACCAACCCTGTCACCGGATGGAAGGGGCTCTTCGTCAACAAGGGCTTCACCCGCCGAATCAATGAGCTCACCAAGGACGAGTCGGACTATATGCTCGACTTCCTTTTCAAGCACGTCAGCGAGAATCACGATCTCCAGTGCCGGTGAGTGCCATCCCACCGATTCTAGCGGGTATATGTTCTAACGTGGAAATAGCTTGAAATGGATGGAATACGAGAACAAGAACGCCCATGATGTCGCTATCTGGGATAACCGCAGCGCTTTCCACACCGCTACGGACGACTACTTCGACTTTGGCGGTGTCCGCAGAGGAACCATGTTTGTTTCCCTGGGAGAGAAGCCCTACTTTGACCCCAACAGCAAATCCCGCCGTGTGGATTTGGGCCTCGGTCCCTTCTCCGGCCAGTTCGAATGGCTGTAGGCTATTGAACTCGCAGAGCTAGCCCCCCCCCCCCCCGAACGAGAGAGGAATTATCGCCCATGGCCCACAGACTTGTTATGATTTCTTAGCATTTTTCTCATTTTTATTTTTACTTTGCAATGTTGGGAATGGGGTGCTTTTGGGGTTTTGGCTTTCCTTTCTGAATGTTTTGAATGATTGCTTGGTGAATACATTGGGATTATCACGAACTTTAAAGACCATTACGTGATGAACTATAATATCCTCGTATCAAAGCGTGCGAATGGCGCTTCAAGTGACCCGTAGTGATTGCGGATTATTATTGGCGGTAGCATCGGGTCGAACTGCACTCGTACATGGATGTCTGAATCTCCTCTGCCAAAGCCCTAGCCTTCCGTGGGCGGGGGTTCCTCGAGACAGCTAGTTCTGCTCAAAGTACAGTACTACTCTAATCTCCCCAAATGGTAGGTACCTGTACCCGAGTATAGTAGGGTACTCAAACGTTGAGAGGGTATTTTTATTTGCCCACATAGGTTTGCAAGGATGGTTGGCCGTATGTCTTTTCTGATTCGGGTGTTCGGGTGCAGTACCGTACTGGTACAAGTACGTACTGTATTCCTTGCGTGAGACAGGTACTCGTATTTCACACATGGGCTATCCGGAACATCGCCGTCCCTAAAGTTTGTCGGGATTCCGTTACTCGGGTATGCTTGTCATCACCACGGGATCCGAACTCAGACAGGCTCGCGATGGCTCAAATCCTGCTCAGTTACCGTTGCCATTCATGGGTCCCGTTGCGCAATGCGCTCTCCGTGGGGTGGTTTCGCAGAGTTTGGGATCTGGGTCGCCCCATGTCTTGCCAAGCCCAGCCCTGCCGCTCATTTCATTCTCGGAACAAACGAATCATTCCAGGGGGGGCACGGATGTCGCACTGAATTGGCCCATGGAGAAATCGGGCGCCGTAGGCGTTTCTCACTTCTGTGGATGCTTCCCGCGGACCGCTTTGTCCCGAGATGACCCAACAAATTCCCCTTAATAACCCATGGGATGCCGGTATTTGGCGCGCGTGGGTGAAACTGTGAAACGCTGTGGGCATTCGCACTGGCTGTCTGTATGACACTGGCATCCAGGCAGCGGTTCGCCATTGGTGGGAGGATGGCTTACTGTTCTGGGCGAAATGGTAAAGGTTTCGGGCTCCTCGTGTTCTAGAGAAATTCCGGTCTTCCTTGATCCGAGCACGGCTGAGAATTTGCAAATGCTTTACAACACCGTCAGCTCATTCGAGCAGAGCGAGCCGAGCGAGCCGAGTACTTGTGTGCGCTAGGCTACAATTTCGGCCCCGCTAAGTTCCCCTTATTTGGTGGACCTTTTTTGGGGGGGTGGGTGAGTGGCAACTGCAGCATGCGGTCGAGATAGAAATCCTAGGCTCCCGTTGTGATGGGTGAAGGCGGAGGATTGCCCCATCATGGCCTTGTGGGAGCGCGCCATGTTCTCAGGGTCCCGTTCAGTTTGGGATGACAAGAAAGGGGCGACCAAAAAGTCGGGTGGGTACGTCTACAAGTGATCAGCGGGCTCGGGTTGGGGCGATGGCGCCCTGATCTAATTTGCTGGAGAGTTTGCTCACGCCGGCATTATCAATACCGGTATGTGTGATACAAATACAATCCTAAAACCCTCAATTATCGCCTCTCATCTCTTGACCCTCTTAGGGGAAGAGGTGGAGTGAATTGGGTGGGTCATCAAATCGGCACTTCTGGTAATGGAAATCTAAAACTAAATTTACCTGGCGCTTTGGTGAGGTTGGTGTTTGGGATCCTGGTTTTTATGGTCTTGATTTTGGGATTTTTCACATCTAATCACCCTCTTCCTATCTATCTATCCATCCACCCGTTCAACCACCGCCTTGTTACATCGGGCGTGTGATGGGCAGCCCCTGTGAGTTGTCGAAGGAGAAGAAAATTCTGTCTCGGCTAACTAACTGTGATATAGGTGCTTCTAGAAACTTGAGCTTTGAGGCAATTTTGAGTAACATGCTGCCTCGGAGAATCCCCCAAGGGCGCTGGGGATAAAAATAATAATACTGGAGGGGTAGTGCCGTGATATGGTAGCGCCGAAAGACGAACAACCGAACAACCCACGACCCTGTTCCCGGGATCTCACGCGTTGCCCAAGAAGCCCCGCCACCCTGCTCCAACCCCGAACAGAGTTTAGAATTGGTAATCCATTACAGGGATCCAGGGTATTTGGGGTCCTTGGTGAGCTCAATATTTTCTGGGAAAATCTGGTTAACTTAAGGCGTGGTATCATGTTGAATCTGTTGCGGTCCTTAAAGTATGACAATTTTCTCCTGGAAAAAATGTTCACCTAGCCTCCTTGGGTCATGGATTGTCACTCATCGGTTGGCAGACAGTTTTCTGTTTGACTGGGAAGAGCGGCCCAGAAACTGCGAGTGGAATGCGGGGGCTAACTCGAGGACCATACATGAGACCATTTTTTTTTGATTCTTTTGGTAACTCCGCATGGCCCATTGAATCGTTTACTGAAAGTTGAAGTACACTCCCCCATGATGCCTAGCTGGCGACCGTTAGAACTCCACTCATATCAATCCTTCAGGTTGGATACCTTGCCACTCCGAGCCGAGGCTAACCCCCACCAGTAAGTCAATTGTGACCACTGGCTCTCGTATCAACGCTTAATCTGGCGAGTTACTAGAGGTTGGAGGATATGCTATCTCGTGTGTCCGCCAAACTGTTCACCATATATATGCCCCTCTAGGTCTCGAAAAATCCGGGCCATATACGAAGATTATTACGCCCGCAACCCTGAAAACTAAGTTAGGTCGGATATACCAGACCAGACCCTTCCGGCGATGCCTAGGTCGGTGTCGGGCCTTTCCAACATTGGGAGTCGATGGGGGCTGCGAACCATGTGGCCCTACAGTGGTCTGCGGGGGGGGGGGGGGGGCGTGGAGTCTTGGCCAACGGGTGGAATTTCGATGTGATGGCCTGGCGGGCGAGATGGCCTCACGGCGGAATTGAGCCGGGATGAAAGCTGGCTACTGATTCAGCGTCGTCTGTAAGTAGGCAAGTAAGAACATTTCTCAGTTAGCCCTTGTAACGGCATTTGAGGAAGCTGTCAGATTTAGAGCGGCACTGAATGACGGAGCTTTTACTAGGTCATCTGGGGCGCTAGGCCACGGTGGTTGGAATATCAACTAACTTTCACTTGTTGGCCCTGGCGGTGTCAATGCACCCGAGTGACATACCATGGCGCCGGATACCTGGAGTTGGGGATCAGAGAGCATAAAAACCTCTTTCCCCCCTTCCTGACTGCATGTAAATGGCCTCCCCTGGGTCTAGGGATGATTTGAGATCCCGTAACGGGGTGGGGGAAACGAGAAAAAGGTCAGCAACATTAGTCTCCGAGGAAAACAGGATTATTGTTTTACCGTATAAGGGCGTTGATATGCGAAAATTGGCCACACGTCCCTGGCCCTGTTCTGAGTTGTTACAATTGAAAGTTTGCACAGCAACTGGGGGAATGTCGAGAAATTGAGTTTAATCGGATATGTTGTTGCCGTTTTTCCCGAAAAACACTCTGTGAAACCATCTATGAATGCCCCACAAGTCTTAGATTCTCATGTGGAGAAGCCTAATTTTGTTGGGTTGGTAAAGTTGTACAATTTTCGCATAAAAAACATCAATATATACAAGAAGGATGACTGGACAGAGATCTCGAAACCCCCACCCCGGATTCTACAATTGTTTTTTTTCCCCAAAAATTTCGAAAGTGCTCCCCGAACTTTCCGTTCATCTCACCAGCATTAAAATTTAACCGTTTAACTGACTTTATTCTATTAGAGGTTCTTTGCAATCGGGTTGACTTATTTTGGGCAAGCAGCACCGGGACCGTAGCAGCGGATGCACTCGAAGGTGTCGGAAAAGTCGAGAACCGGACTGGGTTAAATTAGAACTGCTTCTCTATGATGAAAGAGCAGAAGGTTTTCGTGGGAAAACTCACTTATCACCCTCAATGCACTGGAACTCGTCCTTGCCCTCAATGCATTTTCCGTTCTCGTGTCCGCCGAAGAAAAGGCAGACATATCCTGGTGGGATCTTGGCACTATATCGTTCAGTATGGCTATTTGTCGGAGACATTCCCCTAGAATTGGTGGCAAATTTTCTTACCTGTCGACTAGGTTCGCGTTGGCGGCACCAATGTATGTTTCTTCGCCGATGTTAACGGTGAGCGGATTTCCGGCGGTGCCGACACCCTCCCCATCTTTGAAATTGGGAAAGTTCCAAAGAGTGACGCTCAATTGCTGGGCGGTGACGCTGGAAGCGGCCAGGAAGATGATACCAGCGAGAGTTGAGAGTTGCATTTTTAAACGAGATCCAACGTGTACTGAAGCCAGAGGCTTTTGGTGTGTGTGTGCGACTAGGGAGGAAGTGAGGTTCAGGGAGAATGGAGGACTCTATATGCTGCTTCCTCGGAAGAGTTGAGGTAGCGATACCGAGAATTAATTTAGAGGGCCTCTACCCTGGGTTCGCTCGGATGGTTTTACTTGACACATCCTCCCGATATATCCGTGTGGTATCATTAGAGTCGTGGGGTAGCTTGAAAGGTGATGGCTCTGCTTGCCTCCGAGGTGTAGGGAGCAATGGCGCCTGCTTAGATTTCGTCGGAGGTGGTTTCAACTAATCTATCAGGGTAGATCATATTCCTCCCACTTCCTCCATCTTCCTCTACCGACTCTAGACAGCAATTCACCGTCCCGGAGCTATAGGGTAGAAAGCACTCTCTAGATCCTAGCGTTAGCGTTCTCGCGATCTCAGGTCGCTTCGCTCAATATATTTTAGATTCGAATGATTACTTCTACTTACCACATTCGGGCTCCTACTTTCCTTCCCGACCTTATTTATCATAAGGGTTATCAGGGTAATAGGTAGTATGGCCTTCAAGGTGAATTGTAATGGGTTCCCGGTGTTCCGATAGGCCCACGGGCGGTCTGTAAGGGCTCAAACCGGGGCTGCTCTCGGGCGATGTGGTTTGCGCTTTGGGTAGCCGGAAACCCGAGCGATCGTTTATTATACAAGTACAAGCACTATGAAAAACAGGGGTCTAGATTCAGGATACCATGATATGCCACGACAAGGGTGGGTTTCTGAACTATGGCCTCTATTACACAGCAATCTGCCCGTCATTGAAGTAATCATTATTCAGGATTCTGAATATATTAATACTGCATGCCCAAAAAAATCAGGAAAATCGGGAAATTCACCGAAACAGGCTCCAGGCAGGCCCGACTCTCGATTTTTCCCTCGGCCGCAAAAAAAATAAGTTTCTAGCACACAGCCATGCTGTTTAAAATGAGTGCTCTTGTTTACCATATTGAGGCCTTGGTGGGGGAGGTCATAATTTAGAAATCTGATCCCCCTGTCCCGGCACTTGCAGGACCTCACTCCCGCCGCTGCAGATCCTGGTATTTTAAACATAGGTTCCTGTTCCTCATGGTGTAACAAACGATCGCTCTGGAAATCCTCGAAAAAAAAAAGAACGGGCTGGGAGTGATCCTTCAGTCTTCTTGAAGATGGGTGAGCTTATTCGGCCACCATAGATATCATAAAGAAGAGAGTCAATAGTACTTGAAGGAGGAGAGCAGCGGGGAAATTGAATTTTGAGTCTCTACCCCCCCCTCCCCCCCTTTTTTTAAATTCTCATGCGCACACTGCAACCCTGGAGGATGCAATCTATCTCTCGGCCTAGAATTACCAACTTTGACGTGATAGTGGAATCGCACAAGTACGACAGCCGTTAAAACTTCACCTGCCATTTGCAGTGGGGATGGCGCGATGCGGTCAGATGGGCGAGATTAGCGGGGACCCGGACATGCTTCCTTGTGGCTGTGGGAGAAACGAATGGCAATACCCGTACCGGTAGGCAAGGGACAGGGGTTGGAAATGCCGGAGGTCTTGGTGGAGGCAGTCATCCAATGTTGCTGGAGGATCTGGAACGATCTCCAAGACCTAGAATATGACCGGACTGAGTACTGTGTGTTTTTCCCCGGTGCTCGAGTACCGGTACTTGTGGCGGAATGTTCTTGGAAAGCGATGTGGCACAGCACTGTACTTTACTCTACGGTACTCGAGTGCAGTACCAACAGTAGTATTGTTCCAGGGAAAACTCAGTAAGAGCCAAGATAACCGAGAAGTCTGCTGGGGTGTCCAAGATTTCCCCCCTTTGGATTAATGGGGGAAACAGCGAATTATTCCCTTTCAGACCTCAATTGAGGAAAGTAGATAAAAAATGGAACTGACCTTACCAGGAGAGGCAGGTAAGGTCAACGTCCTACGGTAGTGAGATTCCGGTTTTAAGGCACTTGTCGATTCTTGAAGTACATGTACCGTCTCGGGATGCCTTGGCTTCGGGAGCTCCCAGTCCGCGCCTAAATACGGGGATCCTGGAGCCAAGGTATCCGGATACCGTACCGATACTCGAGTATTGCACTCGTACGTTACCTTATGGATTGGCGGGTAGAGCGCAGCCGCTTATTCCATTACATTGCTTACCCCAGATCTTCAAAACACTCGGGCTGAGAGCAGCCGCAAAAGCATGCAGTCTACCTTGTGCAATTAAACCCCACTACATTTGTATCCCGGATTCTAGAAATTTCGGAATTTCATCTGGCACCAAGGGGCATGCGGATACCCGAGGAAGCGCTCCTGGATTCTTACAGCAAATGTCACTTGTAGGTTGTCTACCAATACTGTACTCAAGGCTATTTTTTATCGCGGCAAAGCCCACACCCTCCAATGCTACCAGACCTGTTTATGGCTCGATTGTTGTTCCCACCACTTCTCTTTTTCATTTTTGCGCCTATTCCTTCTATAATAGGTTAGCTGCGGGGACACCAGCCGACCACTGTTAATTTCCTCAACACAGCCAGTTTATGGTCCTTGCCAAGAGATTAACCTCCATTAATACCAATCCTTGGCATATTAACATACTATTACTAAGCCTTTGAATATGTCGGCCTGCTCCGGCAATAAGATATCCCAACCATAGAGTTTTCTAGGTTTAGTAGGGTATCAGGTAGACAGATCCAGGGTAGCAGGGCGCAACAAACTTGGTTCTCATTTCTTTGCTGTGTTTTGATTAAATTTAGCTTTAGTATTTTTGGTCTTTCTCTCTCCCAGGGATTCTCGTAATACCCCTGTTGGGCGGTGACTAATTTGCCCGCTCATGGTACTTGTATGTACAATCGCACCCCGTTGTCCCGGACCTCGCTCTCCCGGATTCTTCGCTGTCCCGGATGAGTTTCTATGAATTATAAATTTCTTCACACCGAAACTAAACCTGTTGTCCCGGATAACTCGCTGTTCCGGACGGATTCTCAGGATTTTGGCCGTCCGGGACAACGAGGTGCGACTGTACTCGAGTACTCGTACTTGTACATGTCCTAATACTCGTTCAACTGATTTTTGACGATTGGAAACGCCTGAGGGCACTGCCCACTACCGTCTTTCACCCTTGACAGGAGGATCTTGATATTGTCGGGCGGTAAGACGCTAGGACAGGCACTCGAGAGCTATCTGAGATGCGGGGAATATACTTGTAATGTTTAGTCAGGTGAGTGCTACCAAGTACTGCAGTCGCGAACCTCTATACAGGGCAGCAAAAAACTCCGAAGGATTCTATCCGGCCCGCTTGGTGATCCGGGACAATGGGTAGTGTTTCGGTTTAAAGAAATTTGGGTCAGAGAAGCTCGCACGGGTCGGAATGTCGGAATATCCGGATTATCTGGATTGGGGTATCTAGGTGTAACTGTACCATCGAGGGTTAGTATTTTCCGGCAGTGCTCAAGGGCTGGCGTGAGGAATTAGATGTTTTAGGCTGTAGTCTCTTTCTGTGCTTCTGCCTCTTGTTCTTCGTCCCTTCTCCGGTATTTATTTGTTTGTCTTTCTCTTCGAGTGCCTATGTGGGCCGGCTCACTGGTAGTGGGAGGGAAGTACAGGGGAAAAAAAAACGGGGGTGCGTTCTTATGGGCCCTCAGAGACTCTGAAGCTTTTCACCATACATTCCGCGAATCACTATTATTGGGTACTACTTGCTTGGCACAAGTGCGCTGTTATCCAATCTCTGCGTTTTTGTCTTGGGCTACTGTGTAGACACGTGGTTGCCAAAGAGAACTGTTCGCGCATACAACTTTCCTCCGTCTCATGACTCCTCACTCGTTATGCGCTAGCCTGGATCGAACATATGATACGATACAATGAGATACAGTGCTGGTAAAATTACTAGACATCGCTAGCGGGGCCTGTAATTAAACAACACTTTTGATCCCAGTGGATGAGTGAGTGGTGGGGTGATTTATGCATATGGCACCGAGTGGGGAGGGGAAACTCCGAATTTTAGTATTTGTACGTGTACAGACAATTAACCCTCCGCATTGCGGATAATAGTGCCTTGGGCCCAACGGCTCTTCCCTAATAGCGTCCTCCTGCACAGATATCATACCTCCTTATATTCTATCAAAATTGCACCCTTAGGTCTTTTGTCGAAGCATCCTTTAACCTCTGTAGTTTGACGGTTAAGGTATTTTTGAAACACTACCATGTCGAGGGCCAGAAGGGAGGGCTTGATCTAGTCCCTGTACCCTAGTTGGTAGGTTAGTGTGATTAATTCTCTAGCGGTTATTTGCCATAAGCTTAAACACCCGAAAGCTCTCTAAGCTCGGTAAGTCAGGTATTAGGGACCACCGAGAATGGAACAGGGCGGTGCAAAATACCTGCCACTCCAGGTGGGGAGAAAAGTAGGGAAGTTGCGATTTTCTTTATTTCTAGGGGTAAACTCTTCAAATACCGCCGGTGCGTGGGGGCGGGTGATCATATCCGACCCTAAGTCAATCGCACCGGCTCTCCGGTCAGGAACTCCAAGCACCTCACTTCGGCCTCACAAGCTGCGCTCGTATTAAATGTATGTCTCACACCCCTATAATACTAACAACTAAGGCTTCCAGGAAGAATTCCTTGAAAAAAATATGTATTATGCCCCCTACATTTTCTCCTGTCTAAAGTTAGTCGATAAGTCGATTACCATGCTTTCAGACGGAGGCAGGGTATCTAAAGCCTTGCACAGCTCTACAGCCCCTCATCGATTCTTCAGGAATGCTATCTCTGGAAGCATAGGATGTCCAGGCAAGTCGAACAGATCTTGCTCCCTCGGCGGTCTGATGGCACTCGTGGTGCAGTATTTGGGAAGCGGGTGTGGCTCTTGCCCCCCTGCGAAATACCGGTGGACATTCCGAGGCGCAGGTAACTCCGATCTACTCCTATTTCGTGATAATTGCGGATGAGCTTTATTAGGCTTCGAGATATTAGGCCTGTGGCGGAGTTCCGAAGGTATCGTAACGCAGTGGTCTTATCCAACGCCTGGGTTCTACTTGGGGCCCATACGCTTGCTTCCTCGATGTGATATCATACCTTGTCCGTTGTTCGGGGCTTAGGAGAGTAGCCTTTATTGAAATGTATTCTCTTAATAGAGGTGCGTTTTAGTAACGTTGGGACCTGGCTATTCACAAATACATACAGACCCGGGGGTGTCATTCAACCAGGTGCTAAGCTGGGCCTCGCAGAGTGGAGATGTGGTCCCGATTTCCCCGGGAGTGCTGGGGGCTCTTCTGTGATGGGCGGAAATTCGGATGACATCGGTAAGGTTTCGTTCCTGGCCTTACTCTGCACTTAATTATTTCACCTAATGGTCCACGGATATTGCCGAATGTACCTACCCACAGGGAACTGATCTGGAAGAAAATCTGGTGATAGCCCTAACCCCTTCCTATCTCCCAACTACAAAGCATGCTGGAGGACCGGATGGAATAGCTAAGGGAAAGAAAGGAAGCGCAAAGAGCAGAGAAACAGAGTCAACGAAATCTCCGCCTTGGTAGAAAATGCAAATGAAAGCTTCCTACAAGATCTACAAAATGTGGAGATGGGTGTTATTAGGCCGGAGGGACGGGATCAGTTTCCGATGCAGTATATTGCTTCCAACTCCCCGGAGATTTCAAGGAGCTCCCATCCAAGCTTTACTTCTTATCCTGTACCGTCTTCTCGAGAAAAACTGTGCTGTCTGGATTATCCGGGAGGATCGCTGCCTTGTACACACGACAGGACATTAGGGGTAGTTCCTTTATCCTGCTCGGTTGAGATGTGGAAAGCATGAGTGCTAAATGAAAAGTTCAACTATACTTTTATATATTCAGGAGGGAATGGTTTTGTAGCTTTAGTCTTCTGTATGACTCTAACAGGAGCGGCTCAAAACTTGGCCACTTTTGACCTCTTAAGGGTGCCTAGTTTCGCGAGAATGACATCCGAGGGGGTTCCATGGACTTTGATACCAATAACAACCCACAAAAAGTATAGTGAAAACTCTAGCCCATGTCTGGCTGCACAAACCCCCATTTTCACTTTCTTTCCGGGGCGCTTGGAGGGGATGCCCACGGCCTGCAGGAGGTCTGGCAGTTCTGGGAGAGCATGCAGGAATAGATTGAGGAAGAAAGGGATTTTTGGATGCAAAGCGTCCTACTGAACAAGGCCCTGTAGTGAGGAAGATGCGGCGTAGTGAGCCAACGCCTGCGGGAGGCAAACGTCGCAGATCAAGGTCTCGAAAGGAGCCATGCTGGTTATTGGTATTATGGTGCATAGCCAAAATGAGACGTTGCACCGGAGGTGCGCTTATAACTTGGCGGTGTATATACCATTCTATGTGAGCTCTACCGTAGACTATTCTCTTGCCTTCACACTCCCGACCCCCTAGTCCTCCTTCACACTGCACAGTCTCTGGTTATTGGCGGGCGTTACTATGATATATAAACAGACCCTCAGTCTATAAATAGGGGACTGTCCCCCCGCGGTTGAGAGGGAGCAAAGATTCTTCCACCACAACGTTCAATGGACGGACCCGGGGACAGCCAGACAATCATACCTTCCAAGACGGCAGGGACAAAGGATTGCAGCACGAGGAGAATTTTGAGAATGGAAATTGGTAATAGTAGAGTGGCACGCAATGTGATACTGGTTACCCGATCGCAGCTCGGGGAGAAGGGAAAGCGATAATGGTGGACACTAAAGATGTGTTTTCCAAATTGAAGAGCTTCATACCGGGGTAGGCGGAGACGGAATAGTCGTTGACAATCGCCATGGCCTCAGCATTGAAACAGCCCTTTGCACACGCGAAGGGCAGGTCGACGGGATCTCTTCCCTAAAGAATAAGGTCACCTCACCAGAAGTCCAGAGTGCCTCACTTGGGAACTGGGTGGGCGGTCTCAAGGCTTCGCTTTAGGCCTACAGACTCATCGGGAATGATTTCATGAGCGCATTCAAAGGGGATGTCCTTGCCAAACTCAACCGCGTTGGACAAGAGGATTATCGATGAGGGAAAAGGGAGAATGGGCTCATTGAGGGGGGATGCTATTATTGATGCCTAGTTGTATTAAAGACAAGAGGGAGGGCATGGCTACTCTACTTTCAAGGAACTTTACTGAATGGACCCATCGGTTGTACCGATTGGTGAATAACGTCCTCTATCACAATAACAATAACAAAAAAAATCTAGTATCGATTCTAACTTGTCCAGCGCATATGGAAGCTATAGATGTCTTGAACTCTAGGGCAGCACTGATAACCTGGAAGCTCAAAACTGGCAGCAACGAAATCCACACGCGGTTCTCAGCCTTTGAAAACCACACAAACACACACTCTCTAACAATCGGGTTATGATTGGGGATGTGGACGGGAGTTCGACTGATGTAACACGTGCATACCGGGCTCTTCTGAACTACATCAGGGACGAGGTCTGGCGGGTTAAAGTCGCGGAGGCCAGCGATCACAAGAAGCTTCCTTTTTCTGGTGATTCTTCTCACCCCTCGTGGCAACGGACTTTCGGCAGAATGACGGGAGTGCTGGGTGAATTATGAAAGGGCCTATTCGGATCGGAATCTCTGATATTTCATTTCGGTGGTGCTTGGTTAGATATCGTAGGGGAAAATCCCGCCAGCCCGACACCCACAGAAACATGGAAAAGGTGAGTGTACGATATAAAAGATCTGATTGATCGTTTGTGCTTCTTCCTTCCTTGCCGTATCCCCCCCTCCCACGTCCCGACAACGAAGCGTACCCGGAAAGGTAGGGCGGAATTTGTCAAAGAGAGGAAAAACGGAAGGAGGAAAACGGAGGTGGCGAATGTCTCAGGTGGGGCGCACCGAATACAGAACTTCTTACAAGATCTCCCCATCATCTGGAAATCGGGGTACTGGCGGTGTTCACAGGTGCCCTACCGATTTCCGAGTGATCAAGCATGATTTATCTGACCTCAGCGACAATTCAAGGAGTGTGTACATATTCACAAGGAGTGAACAGATCACTAGTGGTGTGTGCGGCAATAGCATTCCGGTCCCGCATGGCTATGGCACGATATACTATTTTCGCAGCTATTTGCTGCGCCGGTGGAAGTTAAGAGACGGCGGGATGGGAAGTTGCGCAGATCCAGAGTGCATCCATATATTCCCGCACAAACAGTTGCACCCGACCCAAGGAATGGGAGAAAGTGCTTAAGGGATATTCTGCAATATGGAAGTACGGGGATGAAGGGCGTTTGGTGAAGCCATGTAGTAGTGGGGGAGTGGCCATAAGAAAATGTGTGCGGGATCTGAGTATGCAACGAAACTGAAGATATAGCTTGAGGATCAAATGATAATTGTGGATGCACAAGGGATTCATCTACATTCTAGGAATATACTGGGCGATAGAAGACTGTATAGTATCCATACTACTAAATACACTTCACACTCGTTATCTGATGGTCGGGTATCTTTGTCCTCTAGGTTCGCAAGAGACCCTTCCTAAATCGGGAGTAGCATTACGATTGAGTTTCTATCCTACAAAACAAAATATATATATGATGCCTTAGCCAAGAGGGAGAGTTTGAGGGTTATAGGGTAAGCAAAAGAGTGGGTCATTGGGGCTTACTTGGTTTTCATTTCAATGCCTGCTATGATACGTCCGCAACCAAGGTGGGAGTTGAATGCCCATCCTTCCGGTTGGCATTATTTACGACCGGTCCTGTAACCACTAGACTATCAGGCCCGATTGATGGTACTGTACTTTTTCTCCACGTTTGGAAACCATTGTTTGGTGATTCTGATAGTGCTAGTGGGCGAATATCGTCTATCCGGCGACCGAGGAGAGAAAGGGTGGCCTACACGATAATACTGTAGATGAATGGTTTATCCTCTTATTTGCGGGCACTGTTGCTCTACGAGAGCACCACCGCCAACGAAATGTCATCAACCCCTTTTGCCTGGCCTATTATTCTGGCGCGCTTTACCGCGTATCCCGGCCTGCTATTGGGGAAACATCCACTAGTGCGGGCTTGGAAGATCTCTCCGTGTCTCACGTGTGAAGCTGGAAGAAAAGGAGCCCGGATATTCTAACGTCTGTGTTGGAGATAGAGGAGGTAGATTGCCCGAAGAACGTGTGCGACCCTCTAGGTCGCTACAGTAATTTGAAGAGGGGTTTTAGCTATCATACCGGTACATAATATAGGACTCTGAGTGGGTATGATAGAAGGATATTTCGGTTGCTAGCGCCATCGCCTTGTGTTGGGCAGCAGGGTCACAGTTTCATTATAGTGTGAGGTTTGGGCTTGATCATAGGGCCTTATGAGGCACAGCCTCTGCTATTTACCTAGCTGGTCATTGTGAAGTGGCGTGGTAATATTTGAAGTCTGGGAGCGAGCGAGAAACTCGCCCTCTCTTTCACATTGTCAATTTTTTCAAGGCTCATTCCCTTCACTCAATGGACGCTACGTATTTCCGGCTCGGTTAGAGGTAATCGGGGGACTAAAAAGTAGAAAGAGTGGGCAAAGATAAACTGTGAAGGGTCTCGAATAGAAGCGACATAGATCTGCTGTGTAGTGCGAATGCACAAATGCGCGACGGAAGCATATCATTTTGTCGTAAACCTCTGACTCCAAATGCAGTGCCATTGGGATGAAGTGAATCTTTAACAGCCTATTCTTCAACTCTCGTAGAGTCGGGGGCCTGATTTTTGCGTCGCTTGGAATTCATGATTCGCACCTGCGATGAATGCTCGGCTAGTTTGTTGCAATGCCTAGTATATTCATCTCGGTGGGGTCGCAGGTACGTCGGAAGCGTAGCTTGGGCTTTGGGAGGAAAAACTGGTACGGGAGGTGCATCGGATCCCGGGTTGCGCGGCCGCTGCTAAAGGATGTAGGTTAGGCGACCCGAATGGGATAGATAGGGCTATTTCCATGGGATAGGTTGTTTGGGCTATTAATATCGGCGAGAGGGGGATAGAGAGCGGTGTTTGGGATTCTCTCGATCTAGTCAAATTTTGGGGGAGAATCTAAAACTCAATCCTAATGCCCGCAGGTATCCCACCCGCAGAATCCAAAAGAAGCAGTCACCCTGTGACTCGTAAAAAATAATGATCCAGCTATCCTGCACCAGAGTTGCGGCCAGTCACTGCTCTCCCCAGACTCTCTCAAAAGAGTCGCCTTCCTCCGTGTCCTCAAGCTCACTGCCAACAATAAACTCGAGGACGCTCCGAACCCTATCGTTGAGCAAGCCTCCGCCGCTACGGCCGGCGGCATCACGTCCGGTTTTCCTTACTCGGTATTCCCTTTCCCGACGGCGTTGGAGTGCCCGGTCCACACGAACGGGTGCTGCTAATGTGACCCTGGCTAATCGTACCGTAAGTCGCATTCGGCCAATAAGGTCGAAGTAACCGAGCGAGAGAAGCTTCTTTGACACACGGTGGATACGCGATAATTCGATTGACATGAGAACGAAATAAACTCGGGTTGTGAGAGCCATCTCCCGTATTCTGTTGAAAGCCTTCTCAATCGCAACTGCGAGCTCGGTCTTTAGTAGAGGAAAGCCGTGTTATCGGGGGGCAGGGGGAGACAAACGGATGGTATCGTCATTTACCACCTCCGGAAACTCCTGATTTAACTTGTCCATGACACGTCCTACCAATGCAAACTCCCCACTTAAAAATTCACTCATGATTCCCTTGACCGCACCTTTGAACCCTTGCCCTCCGCCATTGCCGCCGCCGCCACGGCTGGTCTCCCGGTCGTAGTGAGCGCGCAATGGGGGTTTCTTCAAAATCTCGTAGGCATGGGATAGGCGCTGAAAGGCGGCGGTGGATTCCTCATGGACGGGCGGTCGATCCGGGTGAATGATTTTACTCCGCTGGATGTAGCATCTTCGCAAGTCGTTAGGCGAGGACGATCGCGGGGCTCCAAGGATTTTGTAGAGGTCTTGTTCGGAGAGAATATCTGTGCGTAATGTAAGGGCCGATTCCACATGGATGGGGGTGGTAAATGGGGAAACGAAACGAGGTAAGGGCGGAGTTCCTACCGTCAATAAGGGCAGCTTTATCGGGTTTCTTCTGGGTCGCCTCCATGTTTGAGGAGAGGGGGGGAATGGGGTAAATTCCCTCGCGACGGGGAGGGTCGATGGAATGCTCTGTAGTGGCATGTGAAGCTGCAGGGATCCATGGACCGTTCCCGCGGGTCGGGTGCTGGCCGGGAGTGTGCAAGCGCCCTGCGAGGGTTTAGGGTACCGATTGGCGGGGCCCATGGTGGCCGGCCGACATGCGGCGGCACAACCGCACGTCTGTGGCTTCGATTTGTGCATTTCAGGAGGGAGGAGTATCATACGGGTGCCGTACTCGTGCTGTACCGGTACCGTACTTGTAGAATTTGGCTGTTGTTGATGAGGGACTTGATAGTTGAACACCGGTATGGCAGCGGTCGGAATCCGGGAACCTTTCCCGCGTGCCTGAGGATGGCACAGCATGTCCAGAATCTGCGGTGCGCATCCTGCGAGTAACGTGAAAGAATTGGTCTCAGTTTGTCGCCAAGCCACCAGAGACCGGTGGCAGTGGAGGTATTATCTCTCAATGCCGTTACTATGTGGATGAGAGAGGGATCCTAGGTTTGGGCCAGCACCGTATAGGTATTCCAACACCGTTTAGATAGGAGCTGTGTTTTTCTCTTCTTCCCATGCCGGTGGCTGGGGGACTTTCTACTGTATGATGGGCAAACACCGCCTAGAAGTGCCGTGTGAGCCCAGCGAGGAGTTAGCAGGCTATAACCACCGCCTGGAAAGTCTTGGCACCCCCAACAAAATTGTCATGACAACACAATCGGACTCTCTGATTCTACTATCAACAACCCATGATGTCAACCTCGTGCTTACCTGGAGAGTATCTCGGTCCAAACACATGGTTTCGTATTGTCGGTTTCCGGTTAGAGCAGAAGCCTTGAAGCCAGATTGTCCAAAAAAACTGTGGGAAAAAAAAGTGCTACTCAAACGTGGTCAAACATTTTCTTGAGCATGGCATCTATGACTTCCCAAAATCAGGCCGTACCAAATTAGATGATCATGGACTACAGCAGTTGGGACAGGCTTTTCTCAAAGATCCAGTAGCTGCAGTACAGGATCTTACTTAGGTGGTGACTTTAGACTCCGGAAAGAGTGCTGTGGAACAAGCTCTGAAATCATATCATACCAGCCCTCGGAGAGGTGTGGCCAGGCTTGGCCTTTCGGGATAATTAAAAAAGTGGATTTAGTCACCAAACGCCAACACAAAGCCGAATGCACCGGATTGTCCTCTACGTAAATCGCTCCAGCCGTGCCACTTAAAAGTACTGAACCCTGGGAGGGGGAGTAGGGGAATATTTTGAAGGAGGATCAAAGGTTACATGTGACTAGGGAATCGGTGGATGCCACGACCTTACACAATGCCAATAATATAATACGGAAGTGAACCTCTTGACTTCTATAGTACCGGTACTGCGGTATTGGGTAATAGAGAATTTGCCAAAGGTCTCTTGGTGTGAGTCAAATAGAAATCGCAAAGTTTCTATTAATAGCCGGGCGCAGTGTGTCGGTCCGTGATGGAGTTGGCCCGAGTTAATCTGATCTAACATTTCTAATGGGCCGATATCATATCGTGTTGAGAAAACCCCAATCCTCCTCAATAGCTTTCGTCTCTGCATCTGGGGGCTGCGCCCCTAGGGAACGTGGGTCGCGGGTTTCGGGGTCGTTCATTGCGGTATTCGATATTCTTTGGGTGGATGGGTAGTGCGGTACTGAAAACCCAAATTTCCGGTAGTCGGTGGATCCTAGGCCTGCAGTCACAACGAATCCAGCAAACAGTATCCGGATCAAACCTCTTAGAAGAAACTAGAATCACCGAGCTTATATCAATTCAGCTGAAAGGAACAATGAATCTCCCGATAATCCCTTCTGAAGAAGGCCCAATGAAGAAAAGAAAAGAAAAACAATCCTCTGAAAAAAAAAACCACGAGTTCGTCTCCCTGTCTCGTAGTAAATAAGCATTCTCACCATATACTCCTCCCATCATATCCAGCCGGGTCAGCTGGGAACTGTGCAACGCAGCCCCCATCATAATATTTTCCCGCTTCCACCTTCCCCACAGCAACATCCAAGCTAATTTCATATAACCGCTTATACAGCTCAAGAACCAGTGGAGCAGTAACGGATTCGGTTGTCCAACTTCCGCCCCTCACAGTACCCTGGTGAATTTCTTCCGAGTCGCGGAGTTCTTCCGTCTTGCTGGTCGGTATTGTTATGCATCTTTGCTCCTTGACAGTTTAGAGGTTCTGTGGGGGGCTAGGGCCGTGAACTTGAACCTGTCACTATGTTGCAACACAGGAGGGATCTTCTATCCTCCTCAATACTTCCCCATCCTGTTGGTCGGGTAGGCTAATTCAAGAGCGGGCCAGGTTCCAATCCGGGAGTCCCGGACTTGTGCCGCTGGTTTATGAGTTGTTTGAGCGCTGTATCTGCTTGGGAACACAAATGACGTAAGTGATGCGGCTGATTGGCTCTTGATGGTCTCGTATAGTTTACCAACGGGTGATTAGATATTCCGGATGGCTCTATAAATTTATCACGTACGCCAAAGCGCTGGCGGTGGTGTACGGCTACTTCCTCTCGCCGACAGAAAGGTACCTCCCCCTTTGCACAGATTAGTCCATCTACAGCACTAGGTAACGTTCGGGGCTGGCTTCGCACACAGGAGCACCTTCTCTGTGATTGTTGCACTTTTGAATACGAGTTGTCTGTGAACCCTGGCCTCCGGCGGAACACGACCGAGCAGGTGCTGGACTAATTTTCCAAATCCCCCGGGTGCATCCGCAATGGTGGTATGAATATGGACTTTGTACTACATATAAGCCTGTACTCGTAAGGTGGGGTATTAGAGAGAGGAAACTAGTTTCTCTGCCGTGGGCAACGAGACAGCGGCCTGGGGCTCCTCAATCCTGCGGGGTTTGGATCACGATGAGAACAAAATTTGGGGGATAGTATGATATAGTAGGTGTTTCACTGATCGATTTGACTATAGTGCTAAAATCATCCCACTTCCCTCCGAAGAAGCCTTTCAAAATTCCCACCATTTCCCTCCGCACAATTCCGAACAAGAGAAACCCCCATTCTATGGCACGGTGTCTTGAACCCAAACGATTTCAACGCCCGTCTTATCACTACCCCATGGGAGAGAGTTCTTTCCAACAACCCTGGTAGCGCCCCTAGTACACCAGGACGTAATCATGTTCACCGCTAGAACGATCGCCTCACCCTCCAGACAGTGGGCGGAAGCCGTATCCCAAGTCCTTATCCGGCATGTGCGCACAGTGGCTGCATCGAAGGACGTGATTACGATAGCGGGGCAGATTCGTGGCCACTGCATGGGGATTTTGGTAAGCGCTTCGCGGCAGTCTTCAATTAGGGCCCCTTGAGTGGTGGAGCAGACGGGGTTTGAACGGGGGGGGCTTTCGGATTGAGAGACGGGGGCAGAGAGCGTGAGAGCTGGGAGGGGTTTCTTGTTAGGAATGGTTTCGAGGAGACGGGGGAGGGGGATAATTGTATGGCATACCAAGCAAGATAGCAAACACTGCGAATAATTGGAACTTCATTATTGGGGTTTGGATATTGTTGGGCTCTTGAACTATCTCTTGGGCTGCGGGTGTGCACTGAGTGAATCCGATGCCTTTATATTATAGCTTCGGGGGGGAGTTAGTCCGGACACTCACCTGATGATATCTCTTACGTGCGTTGTGTGATACCTATCCGCAGGAGTAAATAGCAACGTTCGGCCCTAGGTGGAAGGAAAGTTGTTTCCCCTCAGTCACAATACGAGTTGGGCCGCCATATGTGTATGGGGAAACTGGACGGTAACACTGGATCGGGTACCAGATTTTTTTTTTCTTTTTCAATCAAGGAACTGAATGCTTGTGCTCTGCAAGCGTGATATGGGGCATTGGTTGCTCATGTTGCTGCTTCCGTGTTTTTCCCTGGTTGTCCACAGGCTAATGGGAGATCTGCCATCCTATTAGTCTGAGCGGGTGCCGTGAGCTTATTTCTGTTGGTGGTGTTTGAATGTGTACGGTACGGCACTATCTTAATAACTTTGTACGAAAATACGACGTAGTAGAGAGAGTATACCACGGGCACGTTAAGCGAGGAGGAGTTTGGTATGAAGGTAGATTGGTAGTAATTCTTGTCCTTAATTCTTTTAAGTGAGATGGACGGTAACGCCTATTTATACAGGTGTGCGTCCTTTAAGTAATTGAAAGAAATATAAGGGAAACATAAGTGGAAGCATGTTTGACCCTGAAAAATTACCAAGGAAATCCCATAAAACATGCGTATATCTGAAGTGGTGTGAGCAAATAAAATGTAGGAAATAAACCCGAACACCAGATAAGAAAATACGCCATAATTCCCTAATCGTATCATGAAATATAATATGAAATATACGTAATACATACTCCTGCTGTAGTAATGTTCATAGTCAAAAGAAATACTAAGTAGAGGAATATACGATATTATCAAGGAGAATATACATATGAAACGAATTAGAAAATTCAACAGGTGGGATAATAGTTCTTGGACGTACCTTATTTCTCGCCAGCCGTATAGCACATCAAGGCCACAAAGCGGGGCCACAAGAAAAAAACAAGGATGAAAAAAATGAACACGGGCGGCTCGGGTTCGCTATCCAACCCTCCAGGAGTTTCCGCCAGAAGTGTCCAAGAACCTAGGGATCAGTGTTTCTACTCGGACCGGGTGCTGGAACAAAAAGCGAATCCGGCTTTAAAAAAGACCTGCGTAGATCTCCTAAGCCCAAGGCTCCCCCCCGCCGGGGAGGACGGGACATACCCGGGGCGGAGGCCGGAGTCTGCGAGACGGAATGCCGCGATTTTTCTTCCATTTCCTTGGCGACTCTAAGGAGCCCACGTCAATATAGGGCATGAGAGTTGTGCTTTTAAGAAAAAAGGGGCATTCGAGTGATTCGTTGTGAGCCAGATGTTTCACAAGAGGAGGGAGGTATCTTGGTGGTAAATTAAAAATAGGGCAGGTATGGGATAAAAATATTTATTTGTTATTTTCTAATCGGTAGAACTTTGCTCGTGTAGCCTGGTATTCGTGAAAACTATGCGGGGTACTGTACCATATATCAGCTGCTATTATAGTGCCTACTCGGTTTCTGGTCGAAAAGGGTGACTGAGTAAGAACACATGAGCCATATATTACGCTCCCAACCCCACCAATAGGGCTGCAGTACGGTACGCTGGTGGGGCATTGCAGGGGAGCACCTCTTTTGTGATAAATCCCGGTACAAGTGAAGGCCACGTCGGTGCCAATGAGGTACTTTTTTTTTGTAGATTTCGTAGCCAAGTTTCTGCATTTTGGTGCTTAGCTTACCCTTAGCCTTGTGGGTTTGGAATTTCTTTTATTGATGGAGGCTCCTGTAATGTATGCAGAATAGGGAAATGCGGGGGAACCGCCGGCTCTCCTACCATACAACGCTCCCTGTTCCCCACAGGATATTATCCGCCGCCCACTCTGCTATGGAACCTCCCCGTACCATCCCTGGATGGGATTTGCGGGTGTTAGAGGGCGCGCTTGATGTTTCTCTTTGTGTGGGAAAAAAATGAAATGGGGATAAATTCTTTCTTTGCCTGATGGAGCATAGAATGTTGTATCTCTCTGGGGGCGATCGTAGATTAGATACTCTATTACTATTAAAGAAATTCTTAAACCTCTGATGGAAGAGTTAGCCTATGCCCGCTCCACCCGCTGAGCTTCTGCTACTAGGGAGGGTGTCTTGCACGTGGGATACTCGAGTATATACTCTGGTTGAAGTACATGTCAAAGGATGGGTTCCGAGGGGGGGGGGGGGTGGAACAAAAAAGGGGAGAGCAGGCATGGGATAACTGCCGATACGGTGGAGAAATTTCCTGCAGGTCTGCCATAGACTAACCGTTCCGTGGGGTAGATATAAGGCAGCACTATGGAGAGGTATTTTGACAAAGGTAATCTATGGCGTGCGGGATGGCACCGGCTTGGCTTAATAGTAGGATGCTTACGGCTCCTTCGTGGCTATTAAGGGAAGCTAGAAGCTGTGGTGTTTAGTCATGATAGCCTCCCTCTGGGGATTGGCACGACACAGTAAAATAGGATCGTTTCGCACTACTTCGTTCCCAGTTTTAGTTGCCAAATCAAGGGTGTGCAGTCCCACTGTTTGTCTTAGCTATTTTCCTGTCTCATGCTCAAAAAGTCTCTAAACATCGATTAATTCTAAAGTATGCAACAAGGTGCAGTACACCCTGGCTCCTCCATTGCAATTTTTGAATATTTGGGGAGGAAATAGGGGGCCATGACCGAGTGATGTACTGTGGCTGGTCTACAAGTTTTTTGTGAGATTTATGAGCGAAATTAATAAGGCATGGAAAAGTGCTCGACTCAGCAACAAGGACCTGACCGTTCAAGAGGCAATTGGAAAACTGCAAATTCCAAGGTATTGTGAAGGCTACTCTGGCCTCTGCGTTCTTTTGTAGGATTGACAAACACTCAGATCTCTCAGTTTCTGCTCACACCGGAGGTCCTGAGAATGAGTCAAAGAAGGAGTGGAAAAGACACTTCTCAAGTAACGATGAAATTGGAATCAATAACGAAGATCAAAAGAAGCCAAAACAACCTCCTTCCACAGTGAACCTCTAGCATGGATTCACCTATAGGAAACAGGCTGTTTCTTCTCCTCTAAAGACGCATGCGAAAAATCTAGGAAAACAATTGCTGCCACGCCCTCCCTCATCCTTCTTATCCCTCCTACTACCCCCTTTTCCGATTTCCCAACCTGTACTAGCTAGCTTGCCTTGCTTCGTCATGCTCAGAAAAAAAAATCAAAACCACTATCTAGCAAACACCGCTCTTAGGCAACAGTTACCATCATCCCTGATTATCCCCTGACAGTATCCGGGAATTTTAGCGTTTTCTAGGACAAAATTATGGTGGGATTTCGGGCTCTATTGATTATGGATGTTCCTAAAGGTTAGAGCTATGATATACGACACGTTTCATTTCGATAGCGGATGTTCTGCTGTTGGTTTGGCCATCGGAAACACCACCGGGGATGCCTCTGGGATGGAGACCAGAGTGGCACCTACTCGTACAGGGGATGAGCACCGTGTGGTGTCACCTGAGGGAGAATTACCAGTACTCCCTCAGCGGCATCCAGGAATAACTTCACTTGCTGAAGACCTGATTTCCTCGGCTGCGATCTATCGTTCTCATCTTGTACATGCGCGCGCGGGCTTCACTATGGTGCTCTGGAGACTTCGGAACGCGCTTAAATAAAGCTATCGCGGTATCTAGAATGAAACAAGCGGGCATTGTTAACTGGCTGGCTATAGGTGTCGAGTCATTTTTTTCGGTTGGAATTTCCGCGGTGTCCGCCTATTCCGGCTACGGTTGTTTCCAACCATGGTGCGGGTTTTCTCCCCTGGTATGGCCGGCGCGGAGCTAGGAGGGCCTGGAATTGGCCGGTCGGGGTGTGGTCGTGCTGGGTATTCCTGGTCCCGGTAGGTGGGGGATGGAGCGCTGGCAGAGGGAAGATGGGGGAGAGGAACTCTCGGCTTTGTCTTACAGTATTTAAGTTAAGCGAAATCTGTTTTTTTCCCAGTACCTGGACCCTTTTTTTTTGAGGTGGTAGCGATAATTTAGTTCATGCAGTCATGGGCGACTTTGGTTATAATACAACCATTGATACGATAGTAAAGCTTCCGAGATGAAGACTCAAATCAATTCCATATTGGCAGGGGCACGGCTGCTGCAGCACAGATTCCTCCATCCGGGACCTCCATTGCGGAACGCGGGTGTTCTACCAAAATCAGAAATTCAGGGCTTTTACCATGGTATACTATCAAACCAAGCTTGCTTCCAGATTGTTTCCGAGTTTTTCTCCGGCTTTTCGTGGTGTTTGCCGAATTCCACGTTTTCTAATCCGCTTGTTGTCACTGTAAACAAGGCTGTTACAAAGATGGTGGCTGATCCAGTTGGTTGGGTATGCTAAAACAAATGAGGACTAGGTCCGGCGACCTGGATACAGGAGTACAAGTGCCAGGGGAGATTTTTTCGTAATTAACTGTGCGAAAACATTATCTCTGGCCCTTGTACCAGTACAGTAGTTGATGAATTATTTGGATAAGCTTGGTAATGTAAATGGTGGAAGCGATGGGTCTCCTGGTTAGCTCGGGGGGATCTCGTAGGGCTACCAATAGGTGGCTATTCTGAATAGCCATATAAATTTATTATGTGAGCTGAAGTTTGGGTGTGGGATCGTTTCACCTCGCCAGCATGACCCCTGTTTCTCTTTGCCGAGGCTAACTCATTTATGACGCAAGGCAACCTTCACTCTCGGGCTCGCGGGGAGCGGAATATCGATGGTAGCGGATTGGGCATGATTATTGCACTCTCGGATACGAGGTGTCTACGCCACCGGGGGAGTGCAAGACTACTTTCTTCAATTTCTACTGGGTGCATTTGCGATGGTGCTGTAAATACGCACTTTGTTCTATATATAAACCCTGTGAAGTGAAATTTAGAGCGAGAAAACTGGTTTCGCTGTTGTGAGCGGTAAGAGAGTGGTTTGATACTCCTCGATTAAATGGACTTTGAATCGGCTGGACCGTCGCTTCCAACACCCATTCCCCCGGGTATTGTAGGTGGTTCACCAATATATTTCATGATAGATCCAAAGTCATGCATGAAACCTTGAAAATTTACTACTCCTTCCCTCTGCACAATCCCAAACAAAAGAAGTCCCCTCTATCGCCTGGTGTTTGGCACCGAAAGAATTTCAACCCCCCTCTCCCCTCTAGTCCCGGGGAAAGACCATTTCCCAGCAACCCTTGTTCCACTGCCCCGCCAGCACGTAGACATAATCCGCCGTGCCGCGATATAGATATTGGTCTTATCTATGCAGTGCGCGAAGGCCGGATCCCAGGTCCTTATCCGACATGTGCGCCAGATAGCGACTTCGTAGGACCTCGTTATGAAAGTATTGCAAGACCCTGGTGGGGTGGTATCCATCTGGAAAAATGCTTGCATGCAATCTTCAAGCAGGGCTCCCTCGCCGGTGGAGCAGATAGGACGTGGATCGGAGTAGCCATTCAATTGAAAGACGGGGGTAGAGAGGGTGAGAGCTGGGAGGGCGTTTTTGTCAGAGAATGTTTATAAGAGGAGGGGGAGGGAGGGAGAGGTATAGGTTAGTAAGGCGCATTGCATACCAAAGAGGAGAGCAAAAGCTGCAAAAAATTGGAATATCATTATTAGGGTTGGATGCTGTCGGATTCTTAAACCATTTCTCGGACTGGGAGTGCTCGGAGGGAATCCGATGTCTTTATGTTCTCTCTTTGGGGGGGTTAGTTTGTTCAGTTACCCGATGCCTTTTGCATGTGTTGCCTTGCTACTACTCGCGGGATCGAATGGTAGCACCAGCTCAAAGGGAAGAAAACGAGTTTCTTCCTCTGCGACGTCACGGGTTGAGCTGTCATTTGTCTATCGAAAAGCTGGCCCGAGGCACTGAAGTGCGCACCATGTCGCGCTAATCAAGGGACCAGATACATGTAGCCTGCGAGTGTAACATAGGGCGTTGGTAGCTCTCGGTGCCTGGGGGAATATCCCGGGTTGTCCACTAAGCAGCTAGGTGTCCTAGAGACGAGGGCCCCGCGGAGATAAATCCCGAAAATTTCCACCTGGGAGGGGGGTTTTGTTCGGTGATATAGTGCAGTATTTATACCCATTACCTGATATGTGTTAGGCTTTAAAGAACCATGGTAACTGATAGGGTAGGATTGATTAGAGCCATGGGATTTAGGTACTAAGTTAAGGCCCATCCTTAGAGGGATGAGCGAGTAGGCAATTATTTGGAATGATATCAATTAATCGGTAGCGCAATTATCAGGGGGATTCGCTGGAAAACTCACAGATATTGATACTTTATTCCGAATACCAGTTTTTTGGTTGGAAGATTTCAGATACAGGGTTCGTATATCGAGTGGGGTTCTGGTATCTGAATTTAAGGATGGAAGCTCTGGAGAAGGATAACTGCTTTCCTGATCCGGTATTTCCTGGGCCTTTGGACGTGTTTTGAATACCACTAACTGGTATTCACAGCCGTTGGCCTGTAAAACTAAATCGATCCTGGAGTGGTGAGGTGAGATCAACCGGGAACTGAGAGAAAATTGTAGCATAATTTATTTTAAGATATTGAATGTAGATGCATTCAGCCCCAGGAGTGAAAGTGTGTTTTTCAAGTGCCAAGTTTTGAGTGGATCGACTATTTGTGTATGCTGGGCTTTTTTGAGGGAGAGGCTTTTGTACGCACCAAAGTCCGGCGGCTCGGGGAACTTGCACCCATCTTTTTCAATCCGGGGGCTGAATCCGGCTGCCGATATTGTACAGTACGGCAATGTTATTAGATTAATCGCACGCGAGCTGCGTTGTGCTTGGGGGTCATTTGGGCTTATATGGGATAGAGAATGGGCTCACAAGATCTCGTGGTCTCTCGGTGCTGCGAATTTGGGATATCTCGGGTTGCTAGTGGGTGTTTGTAAATATTGATGAGTCTGGGTGGGGCCCAAGGATGGAAGGCGCAGGTGAAAAAGGGATGGATTGTGGGAGTTGATACTTTAGCTAACGACTTGGATTGCCATCCCCGTCCTGCTTTTCAGGTGTCCTGCTGTCTTCCGCTTGCACCGCGCCGATGATACTCTTGCTTTTCGCCAAGATTTGGAACCCTATTTGTCTTAGCGTGTATCATAGCGCGGATTCTTTTCTCTTGGTAATTGTAAAGGTGATCGCTCCAGAAAATGGGATGTGTGGGTTTAATCTTCAATCCCTGCTTGGTAGGTCTTCTTGGGGTGGTGGGTGCTCTAGCTGTAAGAATCTGTCGAACTCCTCTAGCTTATAACAAATCCCAGGTATGCGGTTTTTTTTTCTTCTCCGTAATAGCGTGAATTTTAGCATGTCCAGAGTGAAGCCGGGGCTGTGATGAATTTTCGGCGAGGAGTATCATAGGAAATACAACAGAGAACAACACTCGACTGCCTCTAAGTCAATCGGTACAAATTTCACCAACTACAGCAGGTCGGAAATGGTTAACCTAAACTCAGAATATGAGTTTATGTCTCGTTTGATCCTGCTGTGTAGGTATGAAATTGGTGATATTTTTTGAGTTGCTAGGGTATATGGGGAGAGAAGTGACGATGGAGAACTCGTTGGCAATGCTGAAGAAAGATCCTATCCTAGCCAAAGAACTGCTCAACACGCCGACCCCTGGGCAAACCCTCAAGGAAGGGGTTTCTCTGCAACACACTACTCCGACATCAAGCCCCATAACCCCCATAACCCCCGTATCCAAGGAGGCATTTCAGCTGTGGATTGTTGGCGAAATTCCTCAAAGTGCTAAAAATCTTTCGTCACTGCCTCGTTATATACTGTACTTCCTCCGGAGCCCCAACGCTGTGGGCGCAAATTAGCTTGACAGTTTCCAAGAAAATATTGAATGATGGGCTAGTCTGACCATCAGAGGCCCTCTAAGATCTCTTAGGCTCCCCGGGTAGCCTGGTCTTACCTGGTAAGGCCCGGCACCTGCAATCATGCCATTCTGCGCAAGCTTCCGAGGGCCTACGGTAATGCATCCAGGGGCCATTCTCAGTATACAATTGGCCAAGGGACTATAGCTAGCAGATGAGGGAGCGGCACATGTGCCCGGAGCATCCTGGCTCTTGTGCAAACGATTTGTAGTTACAATATTTTGGTGAATATAATTTGTAAGAATTTAGTCTTCAGCTAATGATCCAAATAACATAAGAGGAAATACGTTACATTTCATATTGGGGATGTGGTTGGGAGATTTGTCATTATGGGGCCGGAGGTTTTGGGGTGTGTGGTGGATAGGTTTGTGGGTGGTGGCTTTGTTGCTTTCGTGCCCTATGCCAGTAGGAGTAGGGTGGGGGGTTTGGTTTTCTCTGCATCATTTATGCAGTGTTGCATACAACTCCCTTCATTCATTTTCAAGCACAAGGCTAACTTCGCAACTACATGAGCCTAATTTTAAAAATTTCTTGTGACCCCGATGGCCGTTAGCACGCAATATTGTTCGTTACTAGAAATCAGGTGTGCACACCCTAGGAGGCCCGTTGCTACGAGTATGTTGAGAGCAAAGGAAAACTCTTGCAATAACCCAAAGCATGCGCTCTCATAGGCGATGAGGGGGTGGCTGGATTTCCTGAATTTCAGCACACATAATTATTGCGGCCGTCTCTCCCAAAAAGGGAAAAGAGGAATGCCGTTCACCCTAACTGAAATTACTAAAAATGTGTGAAATTTGGGAACGAACGAAGGGATAACCCTTGGATCTGGTGCAGATAGTCAACACACTCAAGCATTCCAGGAATCTCCAGTAGAAAAAATGTAAAATTCACGTTAGCAATTCTTATATGATTACTAGTCAGTATTCTTCTAAATTCACCGGTTTGCCTTCACCATGAACCTCCAATTCTTCGGTCATGTTTTATTCTAATGATTCTATACCACCAGCTATAACTTCTTCTTTTTTATCCTGATGATCCCTTGGGCAAAGCTATTTAGGGCAGAACCTGTGATTACGCTCCCAATCTACACTGCATACTCCGCCCGGGATCTCTGAACCACGCTCCTAGAAACAGTCATGGTTGATATATAAACATGTCTTGAAAGCGATCCGAACTTGTGCAATCATGTTATATGACTCGGAAGTAGGCAAATATCTGGAGTCCGGCTGGGCTGGCCCCCGGGAAAGCCTGGGCATGTTAGGCGGGGCCCAAGGCCCAGCCGGACCGACAACTTGCAAGCAGGGACGTAAATATGATTCCCATCAGCTTCTTCACCCCTTGGTGCCCGAAAATTTTGAACGAGCAGTGGAACCGGTAGAACGGCGGTCGCAACGGCGGTCGCAACGGCGAACGAATAGGGATCTATAACCACTAGCCAATCGGAATACTAGCCGAGTGACCAGCTGTGAAATGAAACACCAAGCTTAAGCACGCAAAAGGATCGCCCAAAAACTTTTCTTTCACTCTGACCCACTCCCCTAACTATCGCATGCTCTTCTAACTAACGGCGAACATAGGAGAATATATCAACCACGGGTGCTGCCCGACAAACCACAGTCTCTCCTCACCACCCCCCGCCCAGGTAAGTCCTCCGCTTCCCTCTTTCAAGCAAACACGAACTAACAAAGGGGGGACAAAACCGATGCCCCCCCCTCAGGTGAGTCCCCATAGCCGAGCAAACAAGAAAGAAAAGCTAACAAAGAAAAGGACAAACTCACGCTTCCGCCGTGCGCTATTCTGTGGTGCTCTTCCGCCACACTTTCCAGCACTCCTTCTCCCCGCGTATTCCTGCACTCTCTGTCGCACTCAGGTGCTCTTTCCGCGGTCCTCCATCGCGCTTCTACTGGCGCTCTTCCTGTGGTCCTTCACTGCGCTCCTTCTTACACCTTTCCTCTGCGCTCTCCCGCGCTCCAGCGCTCGGCCACTATTCTCTTTGTCGTAAGGTCTTTCGCGTCCTTCCGTGCACTCTCTCCCACGTCCCGGCAGTGCACTCAACAAACAAACAAAGTCCCCCTATCCCCCATAGCCTCTCTTCTCTGCTGGTGGCTTTCCTCCTAGACCTCCTGGCGTACTCTCAAAGCCGGGAGTGCTTCCCCGAAATCCAAGCGCGCTCCTGAAAATACTAACAAAGAAAACTAACTAGCGGGCAGGCAGACAAAACATCGCGCGAATAAACAAGCAAACAATGCGAGAAGGGAAGGAAGGGGGGAACTGGGGGGGGGAACTGGGGAATTGGGACAGGGGGAGACAGAATAGGAGGGTACCTGGCAGGTGTGGGGAGTAGCTTGGACTTCCAACACTCCCACTCTGCAAGCCATGCTTGCCCTGTAATGTGTTCACGCCGTGGCGCTAATCACCCTATCGGGTACAATAGGAGAGAGGTGACGTCTACCGGAGATAGTCAACTCTAAACTCGCTAAGGGAGGCTTCGGTGGTGTAATAGGAGAATAAAGATAACCGTTCAACCGAGTATATTAAAATACTGTCTGTCGAAGTCTGCTCTTTCCATCACGGAAATGAGCAGTCTATTTAAGTACATGTGTTTGAGTATGATCATGAATTCTCACTCATGTTCTTACTCAATCAAAGCATAAAAATAACCAAGTATCAACCGGTACTTAAAACATAAAACAAACTAAGTATCAACCGATACTTAATACAGAACATAAAATAAAGTAAGTATCAACCGATACTTAAAACAAAACATAAAACAAACTAAGTGTCAACTGATACTTAAAACAGAATATAAAACAAACTAACCGAGCACTAGCTCCGGTTACAATTCCCAAAACAAAACAAAATCCCAAAACAAAACATGATAAAAATTCCGAAACCAAACAGAATAAAAATTCCTGAAACCAAACAAAACACTATCCAAACAACGACAAAAAGGAAGCTCAAGCCTCACTGAACTCATTGTCCTCCTCCAACACTGACTGGCATTGGCAGTTGTAAAAACATGCCGGTTCTCCGACACATTCTTCTCCAAGGTCCGGCCCGGCACAAGTCCTGCAGGTGTAGGATGTAAAAAATGCCGGGGGACTTTTTTTGTTGGAATATTGCTTTAGTGATTTCCACCAAGT